CCCGGACCGTTCGGGGCTGCGCCGGGGGCTGTCCCGCCCTCCCGCTGAGGTCCTCCAGTCAGCTGGCCTCGCGGGTTCGGTTATCATGTCGCTGAGGCAGCGCCTGGCTCGGCTGGCGAGCTGTCTGCAGGATCCGCAGAAAGTGGCCCGTTTCCAGCAGCTGTGCGGGGTGGAAGCGCTGCCAAGCGGCTCCGCCGCAGCCGCCGCTGACCGGAGGGAGGATGACGAAAAGGCGGAGGCACCATTAACGGGAGACTCCCGGCGGCGAGGGCGACAGCCAGGGGCATCCGGTGGCTCCCAGCCGCCCGGGAGCGACCTCAATCAGTGCCCAGCCAAGCTGGGCGGCGGCGGCGGCGCCCCCAACGGCGTGCGGAACGGGTTGGCGGCAGAGCTGGGCCCGGCTCTGCCGCGGCGCGTGGGCACTCTGCGCCGCAACTCGCTGACGGGCGAGGAGGGCAAGCTGGCTCCAGTGAGCAACTGGCCGCTCTACTACCTTTTCAGCTTCGGCACGGAGCTGGGCAACGAACTCTTTTACGTGACTTTCTTCCCCTTCTGGATCTGGAACCTGGACCCCCTGGTGGGCCGGAGACTCGTGATCATCTGGGTGCTGGTCATGTACCTGGGCCAGTGCACCAAGGACATCATCCGTTGGCCTCGGCCTGCCTCGCCGCCGGTGGTCAAGTTGGAGGTCTTCTACAACTCTGAATACAGCATGCCCTCTACCCATGCCATGTCCGGCACCGCCATCCCCATTTCCATGGTCCTTCTCACCTATGGCCGCTGGCAGGTAAAGTCCCTTCTCTTCCCCTCGTTAGTCCTGGGGGGAGTTAAAGATAACGGGGTCAGGGGTGGGCCAGTAGAAACTCCGAGCTCTCTTTGCTGTCTGCAGTTAGCATTTAGCCCTTCCCCGGCTAGACCTTTTCCACAGGTTTTCACAGGTCCACCGGCCTTTTCTAGGTTTTTAAAAATTGAGTGATCAAGAATCCTGCAGACTTAGCCATCAACCTGTGTTTTAATACCAGCGCTTTTTGTAGATTCCAAAGGAAACACTTTTCATAAAGTCGTGCATTATTTGGGCATTGATTGAGTGTTTAAATTGTTTTAATTCTTGTGATGCACAGGGGAAGTGAATTTTTCCCTAGGTAATTGTTAGATAGCTAAGACACTGTTTCACTGTAATATATGGTGCCTTCCCCAAAATTGATTCTTTATCAGACTTAGGTAATGTCATGAGCTTTACTGTGAGACAGTGTTTACAAAACCTTAAGATACACCCTAATGAACTTGCTAGTTCCACACAAAGAAGTAATCAATTTTAAAATAAATAAATAAATAAACCCCCGCCCTTTGTGGAAGTTAATGAAACATAGGCTTCCTGAGTCAATACTCTGCGTCCTCCTTTAAGGGGGTAGCTGCTAATTTGCTGACAGGAAGTTAATTTGTCTTCCAGAGTACTGATCTATATAGTATGATTTGTTGAGCTGCCGTAGTATTGTTGCATTTACTGTGAAAATGAATGAAGTTAAAGTTATTCTTAAAGATAGGGTGTTGATCAGATAAGTCTGTTTGTAAAAATGGGAAGTATAATAGAGTCAACCTGACAGGTTAATGGTAAACGTTTTGTGTTTTATTATTTCTTTTCATCATCCATTTTTCAGTTTTCCACGTTTCATGTATCTTGCTGACGTTTTAAGACTCTCTTTCATATAGAAACAAAATTTATCTTTAGACTGTGGTGCTTGCCTTGCTTTATCTGTGCTGTAAACTGTTAAGGAGATTTGTCGGTTCCTTAACTTAAAAATAAAGTTCATTATTATGGAGAATCTTTCTAAGGAGGCAAACATAGTCTTTTTTTTTTTTTTTCTTTAAAAAAAAAAAGAAAGCTTTTATCTCAACGTTTCGGTTAAATTTAAATATTTCACAAGTTAAAGTGAATCATCAGTGAGTTGTGTTTGGCATGATAATTAGCCAGTTGGCTAAAAATGTGTCTCTTATTTTCATGAGGCTTTCAGGGTGCTATAGCTACAGGGCCTTTATAAGTTCTGTACTGTGTGAAGCTGTCTTACATGCTGTTAATATTAGCAGTGAAAGTAAAAATAGTTATTTTTGTCCTTCATTTGTTCAGAGCACATGCTAAGTAGGAAGTACAGCTGAATTGTTTACAGGATGCAGCTATCAATCTTCTAACATTTTGAATGATCAGCATAAGTTCATAATTTTTAAACAACTTAGTACATTTAATGCAAAGCTTGAGGAATTTGTATATCATACAATTTTAGAAATCTGTAGTCTCAAACTGTCCTTTCACACGTGGAAACTGACCAACTGCGTTAGAATTAATCTTATGCAAATTAATTTAAATTTCTTAATTTACAAATTTTCATTCCATGAACATTTCTAAATTTGAATAAATTGTTTATTTTTGGTTGCTGTTTTGAAATAAAGTCTCCCTTATATGAAAGTCCTACTTCTATAAATGTTTAATTATAGTAATCTAGTACATAAACCAAAATGACTTTTTATTGTTTGACATTTTTTTTTTTTTAATACTCGTTAGAATTGAAAACAAAAGTACCTTTCTTTGCTTAAGTTGTTTTGGTTCTCGTCTCTGCCAATGTGTATTTTACTACTTTAAAAGGGAGGCCTTTATTTCTAGAGTAGGTAATGGAAAAAAACAAACAAAAAAAAATTTAGAAAGTAGGGTAAGGATTACAAGAATGAATGTAGGTGTTTTTCTAATTAACAGCAGTGTTTGTTGACAAACCTGTTCATCTGTTGCATCCTGTGGCTTGCTTTGGATGCACACAGTTACTTCTACATGCCCAAGATGCTGAAACTTCTCCCTTGAAACTGAGTTATCTCACATACTATCTCTTGGGCTTTGAATAACTACTTCACTACTCCCTACCACTTAATGTTCCTATTCTATTTGAAATTTGCTCAAGTTTCACCTCCAACACAGAACTTTCTTATTTGACTGCTAACCAGAAGGCTGGCGGTTCAAACCCACCAGCCACTCCTTGGAAAGAAGGTTGGGCAATCTACTTCTGTAGTGATACTGTCTTGGAAACCCAAGGAGGGGTCCCTATAAGTCATATCCAACTCCACGGCAGTAAGTTTTTTTTTATGTTTTATCACTCCCCAGTGGTTCTGAAATGACAGTGTATGAAAAATTACCAGGTGCTCTGGTGGTATAGTGCCTAAGGCATTTGACTGCTAACCAGAAGGCTGGTGGTTCAAGCCCACCAGCCACTCCTCTGAAGGAAGATTGGGCAATCCACTTCCGTAGAGATACCGCCTTGGGAACCCAAGAAGGGGTTGCTATGAGTTGAATCCGACTCGAAGTCAGTGAGTTTGTTGGAAGTACAGATTTCTCACCGAACATTGTGTTTTATTGGAGTAATCTCTCCCAAAGAATTTTGAGGAAGAAATGTACGTTTTTCAATTGCTTCCAATAAAATTTATTTTTTCTTGTTAAAATATATATATTTTATATTTCTCCACAACTGCTGAGTCAGCTCTTTTGCAGTTCCAGTCTTTGAATTTTTAAAGGAACGTTTCACTACAAAAAGGGAGATCAAAACAGTGTAGCTCCAAGATACTAGAAGAATTTTTAAAAATATCTTTATAGAGATATAACATAGGGTATGTTATGGGATTTCTCCAGGGATTAAACAACTTTGAGATCCATTGGCCTGGATACTACTAATTTTTACTCTCATACTATTAGCTGAAAATGTTTGTAGCCTAACTTAGGAAAAATAGCTGAAAATAAAGAGCATCAGATATTAAGAACATAATTCTTTGAAGAGTAATTTAAGATAAAAAAATAAAGCACTCATTTTGTATTTATATTTGTATGTTCTTCCAGAAATAAAAGATTATTTATTTTTAAATTATATGGTGTGTAATCTTTTCTGATGGTATGCTTGATTTAATAATTGGTTAAGATAGTTATAGATTGATTTCATTTTTTAAAAAATTAGTACTTTCTAGCCTGACATATTTCCAACTAGTCTGTAAGCTTTCACTGTTTTTTATAATAATAATAACAATAATGAATTATTATTATTAAAATTTATTAAGCACTTTCTGTGGCTTGGGCATTGTTCAAAATCGTGAGCACCTTTTGCCTCACTCAGTCTACTTTTATTATTTCCCAATATTTGGTCCTATTATTAATACCAGTTTACAGAAGAGGAAACGTGAGTGATGGGAAGATTAAGTAGCTTACTCAAGGTAATGCAGCAAATAAGTGGCAGACAGTCTGACTCAAGAGCTTACACAGAAAACTTTGCAGATCACACTTTGAAATTAAAAGAAAATCTTTGTAATAATAAATCATTTTTGAAATAAATACAGTTGTACTCTTAAAATAGTAAAACATATCATATGTCCTTGAGAAGATAAAAAATATATATACATATGCAGTCTTCACAAATATATGTGTGATGAACATAAATTAATTTGTTGGCCTGAAATCAGATGCTAACTTGGTCGCCCTTCCTTTCTGCTATCTTCTTAACATAAATTAAAAACTCAATAAACATAATGAGAGCTTTGGAAAAGAAGAGCATATAAGATGTTCTGTCAAAATATAGTGTAGTATAGGTCATGAAAAGATAAAAAGAGGAAAGGCAGAAGTAAGAGTTACAAAAGTAGGTAAAAAATGACAAAGATGAGGAAATCGTCACTTTGGTAATTCTTGGGAAGAAACAAAGTTTATTAAAAACCAAATTGGTTTAATTGTTTTTGTTTTTTATTTAGCATTATAATTGTGTTTGACATGCACATTTTCCTCATTTTACAAGTGTTTATTACTAATTATTGATTTAAATTAATTTTTGTTTTTATTTGAATAGTTAATACATATAAAAACCTACTGCCATTGAGTCCATTGTGACTCATAGTGACCTCCATTGTATTTCCATCTTTATGGAAGTAAATCGCCCCATCTTCCTTGCAGTGGTTGATGGGGTTGAACCACTAACCTTCTGGTTAGCAATCAAATGCCTTAGGCACTGTGCCACCAGAGCTCCTTGTTAATACATATAAATGTTACTAAATAAACAAATTTACATAACAGAGGAAGAAACTAAGAATTTTTCCTTTTTCTCTGTCTTGCAGCTACCTTACGCAGGCAGGTCGCTTCCAGAAGGAATCATTGTTGCAAGTTTCTTTTTCACTCTTTACAGAGAGTCTTCACTTTTATAGCCATGTATTACTTTATTTTTCATAAAGTGGTAGCATACTATGCTGTTCTGGACTTTGCTTTTTTCAGTGAAAATATATTGTAGACATTTTCCTTTCATTTTAGCCAACAATTATTAAATACTAGTTACATGCTTTGTATTGTTTTAAGTGCTTGATCTGACTTAATGCTCTTAATCTACATATAAAGGCTATAAATATCATCACTGGTTTACAGTAGAAGAGATTGAGGCAAAAGGAGGTTAAGTAACTTGCTGCAAATCACTCAGCAAGTACTTCAGAGCTTAGATTCAAATCTAGGCAGTTTGACTCCAAAAGGATACTATAAAACTATGGTACATTACCTCTTAATATTGTTGTTGTTAGGTGCCATCCAGTCGTCTCTGACTCATAGTACAACAGAATGAAACACTGCCCAGTCTTGAGGCAGCCTCACGATCCCTGCTACACCTGAGCCCATCCTTGCAGCCACTGTGTCAGTGCATCTCGTTGAGGGCCTTCCCTCCCCTCTTGCGTTGACCCTCCACTTTACCAAGCATGACATCCTTCCCCAGAGAGTGGTCCCTTCTGATAATA